TGTGTCCCAAATAATGTCTTTGGATCTGGTCCTCAACGTTATACAAGACAACAACGGCAGCGATAAAGTAGACAATTTCACCGGTGGGTAATAGGAACAGGTTATGCCTACAATCACGGCCTCTATAGCCATAACTAAATTGGGCATAAAATATAACACAATAGTATTAAAGTAAAAGTATTTGTAAAATAACCTCTAATTAAGTGAACGACAGGTGTTTGAAAATATGTAAAGAAAGAGGAGTTAATGTAATGATAAAAACAAAAAAACAAAATAAATAATAAATATTAAGAAAACATAAGAATGTTATAACTAGACAGAGCTAAAAAGCCCTTATTTTTGTACACTTAAGCCCTCATATGTTCCGGTTTTAGCCCTTTTAAGCCCTTAATGCAAAATTAACCTAAAAGTGTATTATTAATACATAAATTCACTAAAAAAAAATGTTTATATGCACTAACGAAGCAAAATAATGACATTTATTGATGCAAAAATAATTAATAATCTTAATTTTGCAGCAAGTTTTGATATTTTGTGAGCAAATTCATTAGTATTTTGATAGAAAATCCATATTTTTCTTAAAAAAGTAACTCAAAAAGTGCCAAAATCGGGAAAATTCGGGAAAATCGGGAATTCCCGAAAAATAGAGACTTTAGTTATAACAAAAAATTCGTGCATATCTTTAACACTGACATACATTTGGTTTGGAGTTCACTATAAAAGAAGTTCATTACAAATAAACAAAATAAATGATATTAGAGTAAAGAGTATGTGAAATAAGAGGAGGGAATAAACATATAAAATATTTAACGCATTTATTCGCAAATATTTTCAAGAGATTATATCAACAAAAAAGTCTGACAAGAAGTGAGTATTTATTTTGGAGCATATAATGTATAATTGATGGCTTAATGTGCAATAATAAAGACCCTGGACTTACACCCATTCCAGTTTGAGTCGTTGTGTGGGCGGACTATTGACTTTGTTGATGGAATAGCTGTGCAAAAGGTCTGTCGGTATGTGCATCACCAGTGGATGTCCTCGAAGGTACACCCGAATTATGCCGTCCTCTAAATTCAAGATTTAAGTCAACAAAATTATAATACATTTTGAATTTCTTTCATAAATAGTTTGCAAAATTTTATAATTAATATAAACAACAATTTTAAAGTTTGCAATTTAAGGATCGCTTTGCTTAGCATTAATTGATCAGATAATCCACTTATAAGACCGCAAAACGTATGTGTATTTCCTTAGCTCTCGATAGGACTGATTTGGTTCACAATTATTGTATAAATAATGTTTTAATCTAAATAAGCAATTATTGTAAGTGTGGGCACATTAATGCACGATAACTATAAACTATTAGCTATTAAAACAAAATTATTATTATTTCTTTTCAGATAAATAGATAACATATTAAATAACACAAAACTATATTATATCACAGAAACAAGAAATTAATTCATGAGATACTAAACTGATTTCAATGAATGGGTGCTGAAAAGGTATTTCCAAATAAATTGCATAAATTATATAAAGATTTTAAAATTCAATTTTTTTAGTTCAAAAAACAAGATATTAATGTTTATTCATATAAAAAATCAATTAATAGACCAGATTCAATTGTCGAATGTGAAATAATTAGTGATTAAAATGTTATAAATGTATAATTAATGTCATAATTGCAATAAAAATGTTCAATTTTGAGGGAATAAAATACGTTAATTATATCCCCATAGTAAGTAAAATGACAAGTATATTACGTGCATTTTTGTATTTTACAATGTAAATTACATGGCTTCAAAAAAATCCTTGTAATTTACCAACCTTAATTATATCACAGAAACAAGAAATTAATTCATGAGATACTAAACTGATTTCAATGAATGGGTGCTGAAAAGGTATTTCCAAATAAATTGCATAAATTATATAAAGATTTTAAAATTCAATTTTTTTAGTTCAAAAAACAAGATATTAATGTTTATTCATATAATTAATTCACAAATTTTATGCCTGTATTACAGGAATATATAATATTCTCAAAGCGATTATTGTATAAGTATTTGATTTATTTAAAAAAAATAATTTTCATAATTACTATGAATACTATTAATAAGGTTTTTTTGTTGAATGATTTTTTCTGTTGCAAAGCATATCAATCATAGTGTGTGTTAAGGGATATAAGGGTTGACTGAGTTGGTGGTGAAGGCATTGGGAGATTCATTGATAACTTCCTTCCGAAACAAACCATTTTTATATTCAATTCAATCTTAACATTGATTTTAAATTTGAAGTAAAACAAACATTTTTGTAAAATTTTTTATTTTAAACAAAACTCTTCAGAGATATCGGAAAAGGCACTGAAAAGCCCTCAAAAAGTTATTTTAATCATTAAAATGAATTCATATGATTAGAAATGTTGAAAAATAACATTTAAATCTGAGGAAAGAGAATAAATCAAATAAATTATGTAACGAAAAGTGAGGAAAAGAAGGACTTGTTTTTCTCAATATAAACAAAACTCTATATAATTGGAGAGCTTTTTAAAAGGAAATTCAATACAACAAAATACCAGTGCTTTTGAAAAAGGAGTTTCTGGTAATAAAATACATAACAGGAATGCATACAAACCTTGATTATAAGTCGCCTCTTTAGTGCTGTTATGATTCCGATGCCATACAAGTGCCGCACAATTTCATAGAAAACAAACAACAATACAATTAGAAATTCATTAAATATAATTAAATCCATTATAATTAAGTAATAAACAGAGAAAAAACTGTTGTCATTGTCTATATTATAGTTGACTATAACATGGATTTTCAGTGTATAATAAAAATACATTATTTTCAAATCAGAGAGAGAGAGAGAGAGAGAGAGAGAGAGAGAATTAGAAAATAGGCGAGAAAACAATCATAAATAAAAAATACAATAGAAAGTACAATTGAGTACAATTGAAAGAAAAGGATTGAATTGAATACAATATAGCATACAAAACATATAACCCATGCATTACATGTTAAATGAAACAATTTGATTGAGTAATTAAGAGATTGTAGTATAAATCCGCCACCAATAGTACCAATACTGAGAGCACAGTATTTATTAATAATGATATAATGAGAGTCATAACGAGGAAAATAGAGCCGAAGAATCGTTAGATTCAAATAAGTGGGAAAAGAGATCATTGATTAGTGATATACCCGTGTCTGATGTGATTGATTGCTGCGGCAGATGAGGGTCTCATAACATGCAGATTGAAGAGCGACCCACTAGTCATCTTTCTATGAGAATATTTTCAAATAAATTTATAACAAATATATCATAAATTGCTATTAATTCCTATTCAATGTATTCAAAGCCACAGTTTATTTAAAGCCCCACAAGATATGAATATTTATTCAAATACATAGTTCTTATGCATTAATAATCGGTTGGAGTTCTTAACTATAATTATGATAAATAACGAAACCATTTGTCAATATTTATGTCATTTAGTGTCACAGGTTTTGATGGAAAGGATTCCCAGTAAGAGATTTTTCATGAAGATTACCACTATTTGATTAATAAAAGGTGTCATTAATTGCAAAACTTAATTAAAATGTGAATGCAAATAAAATTACATACAAGAAAAAATAATTTAATAGTTTCTGGTATTTAGTGTCAAAAATAAAAAACTTTTATATTTTTCAAATACCAAAGTCTATTGAACTGAGAATATGGTGTTTAATAGCGGTATGACTTCAACTGTAAAATTACATAACAATTATTGAATAAAAATGTCAATTAAGTGATTACTATATTTGCATTCCTTTCAAATTATAATTAAAGTACAAAATAATAATAACTAAAGAAAACTAACAGAAACAAAGATTAAGTGATATTACGCTAAACATTATACACATTATACACACAGTTAATGTGAAAATAAGACTAATCGCTGATAACGTAATGTGAATATTAAAAACTCCTTTTAAATATTCATATAATTACATGAGTTTTCGTACCAAAAAACCTAATGATAATTACATTTAGCGCATAATAAATGCATTTATTGTTCACTAATTTTGTTGTAGTATTTTTTGTTCGGTTGTGTGACTTATGGGTAACAAAAAATTATTAAATCAATAAAAGAGTGTAATGTTTGGCAACAAAATAACCGTAACTATTGTCGACAGAATTTTATTTTTGCAAAATACATACACTTTTCTATATACTGTACACTCAATACCTCTCGCCGTCTGTGCGTAAAGCACTTATAGCCTGAGAAGAGAAATGTTTGTGGTTTTGGTGCTAATGAACTTGAAATCCCTTCCAGAATACTCAATATATTATTCAACTATTTTACATAAGGTATCGATCAATAAAATATTAGATTTTTTGCAATCATTACAAAACTCACACAAAAATAGTTATGAGAAGTAATACAAAATGTTTATTAAAAACGACATTATATGACATAAATGATACGAATCACGAAATCGATTGCCCATAAAATAACGATTCCCTATATTTGGGTCCAAGTATTTGAGTGATTGATTCAAATCTATCCCTCCATTAAATTCTATGATATATCAAAAATTATATAAATATAAATACTATAAAATTTATATATACAGTGAAAGCTCGATAGAGTAAGGCTCGATAAAGTGTTTTTTCGATATAGTGTCCAAAATATTTTTGTTTGGCGGCCACTGTATACCTGTAATGTTAATTAAGCTCGATATAGTGACTCTCAATATAGTGTATATTCGATATAGTGGCCAAAATTTTGTTATTTTTGGTTATATTTGACTATTTTTACACCCTTTATAGTGTTTTATGGTATGAGACAATTGTTTTTTGTTCTGCAATGATTTGAAATGAGAAAGTTTTATTTAAATTGATAAACAAATATAAAATTTTTATCTCAAAAACATTAAACAATGTAAATAAATGATTGATTCATTTTAACAGTATATGCATTTATTTTCACTACTTTTTCACACACATTCGCTATAGTGTTCATTCGATATAGTGTCCTAAAAACTTCTCCAACTGCTCAAGCACTATATCGAGCTTTCACTGTATATATAAATTTATAGTATAAATATATATTCAATGATAAAATCTTGGGTGAAAAATATGTATAAAATAAATAATGAAATATAGCTATTCTATGCATAATTATTGCAATCTATTTTTAGGCTTTAATTTTTCTGAAAAATATGTAATAATATTTAGCAATTAATGGCAAAAATACACTTAATTACAAGAGAATAACTTAATGTATCATTTACTTTAGTTTTTTATATTAAATAATACATTATTTTGATAAAAACTAGCGCTTTATTGCTATAAAAAGTCAAGTCATATATCGGATGAGATATAATAATAATTGTCTGATAAATTGAGGCCAAAATTCATAATTAAAATCTTAATATATTTAATAAAGAGAACACAATATACACAATAAATACAGTGAATATGAATGGATGTATAATTAATTATGAATTTATTTCACAACACTTTTAGTGTTCACTTAAAGAGCGTATAAATGAATGTCAAGAAAGATAGAGAAGGGAATTGTATTTAACAAAACCTTTTATAAAATATTATATCTCGTAATCGATTACAGCGATAAATATTACCAATTAATTGCTTGTTATGAACACAAGTCTTGTTTTTTCTTTAAAAAATTATATGTAATTAAAATATAAAAAATGTTTTATAAATAATTAAAACCATTTAAACTATAAGAACATATATAGAGGCGAAACAATTCCCAATATTAGCCTAATTTGTAATTTTGAATAAAATATCAATTCTTCAAAATTAAGTGAAAAAATGCTCAAAAAATATAAACCAAAAAACGATATTTTCTATTAAAAAAAGGAATTATCATAAAAACAGTTTAATTGCATTAAAAATCAAGTTTTAGTCGGCGTTTAAACGCGAAAATCCGCTCAAAGAAAAAATGATTACAAAATCTATAGCATTAATACTGTATTAAAAATCCAAATCCGTATAAAATAAATTATTAATTGACTAAAACCTTAACGAAATAACAAAAATATTAATAAAAAAAGTTCACCAAAAAATAAATCACTTTAAATAACAAATAAATTCCTTAAAAACGATTCAATAAAACCATAACTAATATAATACACGATTCGGAGAAAAATTAAACAAAAATTAAGAAATATAAACAATTATAATAAATATAACATTAAAATGTATGAAAGAATAAGACATACTTATTGGCCATTTCGAGACTATTTCCCCGAAACTCTTGACTCGCAGACCATTTGCGCATTGAAACCAAGTTAGAGGTGGAGGCAGAATAGGAACGGACATCACGTTGTGGTGTATGTCTGGGCGAAGCGGTGGGAGTAATGGCCCGGTATGTCATCGACGTCTGCGATGGCGAGGGAGACGGTATGGGAGACCCACTGTTTGAACTACTGTTAAGTCTTTCGCTGTACAATGAATTATTGGACGGATAGTGTGAAAGCCTTCGGTGGCCATTAGCTGCGGTTCCGTTGCCATTCATAGTGTGATGGCCTCCACCGGTGCCACCATTCATGAGATTGACTTTCAGTGCATTACCATTAGTGTTGTGATTGTAATTGAGATTTAGGTCTCGACTATAATTATTTCTTGTGTTCGGACTATAAATTGATGTCGAATTCGAGTTCATTCTCATTGGAGACAAATGTAATCCTTTATTATTGAGCGCATTATTGGGCACAGTATTGGACGTAACAACAGGTGCTGGCAATTCACAAAAATCAGACATTTCTTATAACTTATATCAAAAGTTTTGATTCAAAACTAATAAAAATAAAACAACTAGAGAGAGAGAGAGAGAGAGAGAGAGAGAGAGNAGAGAGAGAGAGAGAGAGAGAGAGAGAGAGAGAGAGAGCAAACCTCTGCCTTCTAACTGAGTAACTCTTCGGAGCACATCAGCCAATGTACTCCTGAGGCACACGATTTCATCGGACTGTTCAGTGACTTTGCGCTCTAAGTGGAGGACTCGGTGTTGGATGTGTTGGTCGTGATCTGCGTTCGTGCTGTTGTCCGATAGGAAACTATCGTCTGATGTATGAAAAACAAGGCATTCATTCAATTAAATGATAAATTGATATTTTGTTAAACATATATTCCGTATTAATATAATAGCATCTCATTGTACGGTAACTAAAGCTTGTTTTGCCTTTTATTGGCTTAACATTTGATAAAGTATTCAATACAATGTAAATAATACATTATATTTGTTATTCAATGAGTTCTCACATGGATTTCATAGTTTTAATCCTTTTTAAGACACAACAAGTGCTGAGCAAAAAGGGGGTCAAAAGGGTATGAGCTGTGGAGGGTGTGAGTAGTGCTCATAAAGTGAAGTGATCCAAAGTGATCAAGGCCAATATGGCCAATATGTGCACCACATTTCAATGAGTTCCTAATCCCCTAATCATCCCTCAAATAACTGCATCAATAAATACAACTCAAAGCCTAAACTTCCTGTTGAATGAAAGACTTGAAAAATGCTGTACTTTTGAAATGATTGACAAAATTAGGTAAAAATGCAATTCATGTGAAATACAGAGTAATAAAGCGATCGGAGAGTCGAGTGGTGTATAGGTTTAGGGTTTCGGACAAAACCAAAGGACAACCAGTTTTACGATAACATATTGTCACTGACTTTACATTAGTTTTTGCGGAGACAATAACAATAGCCTTGTGTTTGAGTCCCAAACGTAATGCCAAAAACAAAATCATCGCTCCGTTGACTCTCATATCAAACGTATGTCTCATTCAATAGTTTTATTTTTAAATCAAAAGTCAATGAGAAAAAGCAAATATGCATTGAAATGGATCCGCACTTATGGCACATAAATAGCAATCAAAACACACTTTTCATTACAATTACAACACAATTACATTACATTACAATTACATACCATTCATAACATTCATATCAATTGAATGGTTGTTCACTATATGAGAGTCGGCGTCGGGTTTGTCGCTACCATTCAAGCCATTAATGGTATTGTTATTATCGTTGTTATCGTCGATATGACCGCTATTTGCCGATACATTTGTATCCATTATTATTAAACTCTCGTCAATACTATTAATACCATTAATAGCGTTGTTATCATTGATTATATCGTTATTATTAAAGTTGATGAGAGTTTGTGTGGACTCTATCGCACCGTTCACTCCATTCACCGCTTTATCCGCTATTAACAGATCGGCCATCGATTCACCGATTAATTCACTATTTATTAACACTATATAACAGATCACTAGTAATAGTAATCATACATAACATTAACCACAAGTTTGCAAACTTAATGACAATACAAATGGTATTTCAAAACATAACTAACAAACTATACATTGAGTCCGAAAAACATAACACAAAACCATTGAAACTATTTTTCAGAGACTTTTCTCTCAAAGTCTGTCGTAAAATGTTTTTCACTGTTTTCTGCATTCAATGAGTGGTTGTGTTGAGACTTGTGTTGTGTTTTCTATTCACAAATGCTTGCAATATGTTTGCTCTCAATCCATACTCACATACAGTCCAACCCCTGTATTCACAACTTCCTATTGTCTACACTTCTATACATCCATATAATCAACATTTTGTCAATTCATCACTTTTTGTACATTTCATAAGATTTGTGTATATATTTAGCTATAATTGTTATTTCAATACCGAATACATAATAATGAAACGAGAGTTCACTCTAACGAGTGTTCATATGAGTGAATGGGAGGAAAACGATTGGTTTGACTGTATTTGAGTGTTCGTCGAAAATTGTGTGCAATTGTGTTGAGAGACATCTATTGACACATTTGCACCGCTTTTCACATGTTTTGTCGTTTGTTTTGATTTCATTACAAACTTATTGTGAACTTTATGTTTGAGTTAATTTTGTTAACAACTCTTAATTGTTATATTTATGTTGAGATTGACTGAAGGGCTCAACAATTGGTTGTCATTAAGGGGTAAGTAATAAGTAAATGATGTTTTGTAACCAAATATATTTCTAATTGAGTTGTGAATCAAATGAGTATTTATTATTGATTTTAGGTTTGAATTACAATTAGTGGTGAGAAGTGATGGCAAAGGGAAAGTCGAAGTAAGCGTTGATTCTGTCATTGATTGAGTCAATTGAATGCTATACATTGGTTCAATGAAATCATAAGGTTTTTAGTATATCTTATAAACAGATTTTATAAATCAAATAATACTAGAATAATACGCTCGCGATATAAACTTAACATGTTATTTTTGAAATTAAATAAAACAAATCTAGTTTTAAAATTAATTATTTTGATTAACAGTTAGACCACAAAACCCATTTCTAGTCATACAGTATTAAGACATTGAGTGATATTTAAAACAACATATCATAAATATTGAAGTCTATGACCACTAATATTAGGCAATGAATGCCACGGAAAAGTCGGAACTGTTGAAGAGTTTGGGATCAGCTTTCATTACAATAGTGATAATTGTGTCAATAGCTATGTTCATAATGTATGCGTATTTTGTGTACCAATTGGAGACAGTGATACGAAAGGAGGCCTCGAGAACAGTGACAATGTATGGTATTTCACATAGCAATGCAAACCATAAGCCAAACCAAAAGCCAAAGCAACCGAACACAGAGGAAGAAGATAGCGATGCGATGGCCAGAGAGAGCACCGAAGAGACTGGTGTCGTCCGTAAGAGTTCCCAAGTGACCAAAATGGAGACAACAGAGTTTGACATCCAATATAATAACAAACCCAGTGTTATTCCTGCGCCCGGAGGCAAACCCAGACTATAATTCATTGTCTAATTGTTTAGTTTATTTATTATTATTTTTATCCATTTAAATGTTTGGTAGTTTTTGACTAATTGTATAATATTTTAAATAACAAACAAATTTTTATGTATAATTCAACACAAAATAAATTTATTTTATTTATTATAAACAAATTATAGTAATTATTTAATTGATGAGAGATTTGAAAAACAGAGAGTTATTTATTAATAATTATAATATTTTTTATCTAATAGTTAATGTATTGAGAGTTAAAACAGATTAAGTTGATTATAAAGCTTGAAATTAGTGATATGAAGGGGCAGTTTGTTGGGTCCGGAGCGCCGGAAACCAGTGATACGAACACAAACAATATGTTTGGGTCCAAAACAGATTAGTTTCGCTTTAGTCGTGTGTTGATAGTGGGTATGAATGGGAGTCCAATTGGTTGGACTTTTGCCCCTTTCCATACCATCCGAGTAACCGATCCAACAGTTAATGATCTCGTTTTCGCTCATTTCAAAACCAATTTCCATACAATTGGCAAACACTGGTTGTGTTAAGCGAATCAGATAATCAGTTTCGTAGCCATACGTCACGTAATCATTCAAATCAATTATCAAACGTATGTTTCGCTGCGTTTTCAACACATAGTTTGTGATATTAAAGAGTTGTTTAGTTTTGGAGAAGAATACGATACAAATGGCATCCGATTTGGATATGTAGTCATGTGTGGCCACTAATGAGTTGCCATTCATTTGCATAGCGTTATTAATAAGCCCGACGTGAAGCAGATTCTCGGACAAGAAGTTGAGTCCGAAACTGCAGTCCTCTTCGGACGTGACGCCTACTATACGAATCTCATCGACTGTCCGTTCGCTAAAATACAGCTCTTGTGTTGAGAAACACTGTGTCTGCGAACAGTCGACGACCGGATCCCAGCGGCCGACACCACGACTGTTACGGGTCTCACAGATGTAGTACACGTTCAACAGCGAGAAGCTATTGGAGTGGATGTTCACACGAAAGCTGATGTGATTGACAACCGTAAGCACCGGTAGTTTGAATGCTATGCATTTGACCACCGGTTGTCTGGCGTTGAACTTAC